ATTTACGACCAGTGGACTCCTTCACTCCCTCTTATACGGACATCAGTTTAACCGGACTAGATCGGCAAGAAGTGTGGGCGGTACTGAAACGACTGTTCACGTGGGAAAGATTTGAGACCAGTGATCACTTGTCTAAATCAATGCTCTCCTAATTTAAGTCAAATACTGTATGCAGTATGCATTTTAACGGTCCGTTTTAACGAGTTTTTGGGGACGTCGGTTTAACCGGAATACCCGTTATCCGGACTGGCCTCGGTCCCGAGTAGTCCGCATAAGAGGGTGTCTACTGTGTATTTCTAATTTGAAGAAAAATTATAAATACCGGTATTCAACCCTTTTTAAGCGTGTAATGCCGGAGTATTGGAAGGATAGATAACTGTACCCTAATAATGAGCCAGAATAACCGTCGATTTTCTTTTAAAATCTCTACTAAATAAACCAATACACCACGCAAAAAGATGCCATTGCAGCAATCGGTTGCTCGTTTCAGTGTTTGATTGTTGCCGCAATATTTTATTGGCCGTAACTCTTATGTGCGTGTTTGTCCAATGCGGACCTACCGTAGACACTAGGGCCACTGCAGACTGCAGCGGTCGATATGGTCAGTTAGGCCTGCTTGCGTTGCATCAGTGTCAATGTTCTCGTTTGTTATTTATTTATTCCCCAGGATTATATATGTCCCATGGAAGTAGAACCCACGGATCGAGTTAAGCTCAATTCAATAAGATTCGTATTTTAGCTATCACATCTTTCTGACTCAACATAACTGCGATACCACCGATAGTGTACATCGACTATTTACTTTCCTTCGATACTTATAACTCACCAAAAGGAGTACTCGTAATTAATTTTCGGAGCTAAATTAGACCAAAATACACTTTCCTAAACACGACATACACTCAAATTCTTATTGGATAACTAAGACTGTAAACTGGATATCCTAACAAAACTGTATATGATTAGAGTAAACATGTTTACATCACGCTAGCATGCAAGTGTCAACATCAGCAGGCTAACTGACAGGTAATTATGTAGGGTGTAACATGTTTAAAAGTGAAGATGGGAGGGGAGGGGTAAAAGCGTCGTCTGCTCATACGTTTAGTGCGTTGCAAATTGCATTTGAGTATCGTGGTAGTGAAGTTATATTCGTCCGCATATAAACTCCCTAATTAACTACAAGTGTTATTCACCATCGTTATTGTTTGAAGTTATTCATCTTTGTCGTGATTATAGACCTACTATACACACAAAGCTTACCATGCACAAACTTTACGAGATGCAGCATTATTTAGTGTACGAAGGTTGCAGATTATTGAGCTTGAATGATTGGCTAATATAAGGCTCGCGCTCGCAATAACCCAGGTAGATACAATATTTGATTTAATGGATGTTGCATCATTGTGATTTTTATTGGAGTCAAAAAAACATTGTACTGTAGTAGGTACTGTAGTTCAGTAGTTTTACTTTAAGGAAACTGGACCAAGTGGTCACACGCATTAGACTTATCTGTGATAAGACATGAGTGGGAGGTGGGAGCTACAGACGAATAGACAGTTATAGGATGATAACTATCCAGACGTTGACTTGTTACAGTACTTATTTCCCAAATTATGAAGGGACGCGAATGACTTTCAAAACAAATCGCACCACAGTTATGACAAAATGATAAAGAAATTAATAGGATCTCATTGAACCCTAAGGTATTCTGAAATATACTTTGAACATACATGAGCCGAAACTATGTGATGTGGCCTACTACCTTTGACTCAATAGTCAATGGTACTACACTAATTTATATGCGTGTGGGGGTGCATCAATAGGAGTGCGACGTCTATTCGGGTCTTTCGTTTTCGATTATGTAACCCGGCTTACTGTATGTAGCCGACTGTAAACGTTAGGACTATAGTCAGATCCTCCAGTATGGCGGTACCCGGTTTCTCAGTATTCGATAGTTCCAGCGACTACTGTAGCCGTGTAGAGTGTATTTATGTAGACGTGTGGGGATGGGTCGATGGTGGAGGGCGGCGTGTACCCGGTTTCTCAGTATTCGATAGTTCCAGCGACTACTGTAGCCGTGTAGAGTGTAGTTATGTAGACGTGTGGGGATGGGTCGATGGTGGAGGGCGGCGTGTACCCGGTTTCTCAGTATTCGATAGTTCCAGCGACTACTGTAGCCGTGTAGAGTGTAGTTATGTAGACGTGTGGGGATGGGTCGATGGTGGAGGGCGGCGTGTACCCGGTTTCTCAGTATTCGATAGTTCCAGCGACTACTGTAGCCGTGTAGAGTGTAGTTATGTAGACGTGTGGGGATGGGTCGATGGTGGAGGGCGGCGTGTACCCGGTTTCTCAGTATTCGATAGTTCCAGCGACTACTGTAGCCGTATAGAGTGTAGTTATGTAGACGTGTGGGGATGAGTCGAAAGTGGAGGGCGGCGTGTGCCCGGTTTCTCAGTATTCGATAGTTTCAGCGACTACTGTAGCCGTGTAGAGTGTAGTTATGTAGATGTGTGGGGATGGGTCGATAGTGGAGGGTGGCGTATACCGGTGTGCCCGGTTTCTCAGTATTCGATAGTTCCAGCGACTACTGTAGCCGTGTATGATGTAGTTATGTAGACGTGTGGGGATGGGTCGATGGTGGAGGGCGGCGTGTACCCGGTTTCTCAGTATTCGATAGTTCCAGCGACTACTGTAGCCGTGTAGAGTGTAGTTATGTAGACGTGTGGGGATGGGTCGATAGTGGAGGGCGGCGTGTACCGGTGTACCCGGTTTCTCAGTATTCGATAGTTCCAGCGACTACTGTAGCCGTGTAGAGTGTAGTTATGTAGACGTGTGGGGATGGGTCGATGGTGGAGGACGGCGTGTACCGGTGTACCCGGTTTCTCAGTATTCGATAGTTCCAGCGACTACTGTAGCCGTGTAGAGTGTAGTTATGTAGACGTGTGGGGATGGGTCGATGGTGGAGGGCGGCGTGTACCCGGTTACTCAGTATTCGATAGTTCCAGCGACTACTGTAGCCGTGTAGAGTGTAGTTATGTAGACGTGTGGGGATGGGTCGATGGTGGAAGGCGGCGTGTACCCGGTTTCTCAGTATTCGATAGTTCCAGCGACTACTGTAGCCGTGTAGAGTGTAGTTATGTAGACGTGTGGGGATGGGTCGATGGTGGAGGGCGGCGTGTACCCGGTTACTCAGTATTCGATAGTTCCAGCGACTACTGTAGCCGTGTAGAGTGTAGTTATGTAGACGTGTGGGGATGGGTCGATGGTGGAGGGCGGCGTGTACCCGGTTTCTCAGTATTCGATAGTTCCAGCGACTACTGTAGCCGTGTAGAGTGTAGTTATGTAGACGTGTGGGGATGGGTCGATAGTGGAGGGCGGCATCTCGACGCGACACTGTACATCGACCGTGTCTGGCGGCGTCGCTAGCTTGGGGCAGGTCGGGACTCACACGTTCGCACACACACGCAGCACGATGTAGAAATAACTGGACACATGTGTCCTAGCAGATCCTTAGTCTACCCAGCCGTTAAGGCGATTTGGAATTGTAATAAATGGTTATTTCGTCCTTCATCTACAGCCCCCTACACAAATGTACAGTTTAATTATTTTATTTTATATTTTTCATACAGTAATATTACCAAGGTCTACTTATTTCATCGTTTTATATTGCCATTAGAGTTATATGTGTTATCTTATCTATAAAATGTTTTCGCAATGGATTTAGGCCCCTAATTAGATTCACGCAAATATGTTTATAGTTACCGTGCATGACTTTAGTAAAACATCACGTCACATTCACATGCACATCACGTCACATGTAAACATTGTCTACATGTAGGCCTACGTATTTTCATAAAAATAATTATGTACCCAAAAACTCTGAGAAATCAGCCGCGATAGACAATGGTAACACTCCACAGTGCGTAGTCCATCTTATACTTCTCCCTCCTCCCATCATCCACCATCTTGAATCAGCTGGCGAGCCGCGAGGAGTCAATCAGCTGTGAAGCAAACACCTGAGTCACACCAGACTGTATCTGATTACCCGCCAAATCTGTGTCTCTCCCGCCGTTGCTATTTGATCACTGCTCGTCTCAATGCCTTTATTGGTGATGGACGATTCAGATTCAGATTTCCATACACAAAGCCAGACTAGTTTAGGCAAGGTCTATAATTCTAAATTGTACACAATACCATGTTGTAAACGCTGGTCTTAAAGTTTTCGACTTAATGTTGTTTAAAGTTGTATTTTATTCTTATTTCTTTTGCTTTTAGCCGATTTAACCGTTACCGATTGTTGTGATTTAGGTTTTGCGATTGGATTTTAACATTAACCTCTCTACAAGAAGGACATAACTTAGAACATTATTAGTCGAAGAATTGAATTTAAGTACTAATTCATGTAAATAGTATACATCAAAGATTATAGTTGGTAGGGGTTTATGAAGATCGCTTCATAAGCGAGTTTGGTCGTGATCGTCTCCCTTCAAAGCCTTGAATAACAACATAGTAGAATGACGTCACTGACTTGAACATAAGCAACATTCGGTATTTATTAAACGAGGATAGTTTTTGTTCATTTGAGACATATCTTGGTCGACTGTTAAACCTCTACGTAAATTAATTCCATGTACATGTTAAATTGTCTAAGAAACAGATAATTTGTAAAAAAAAATTAGTGGTATATGTGTAAAAACATCAATTTCAGTCATTGCATTGTATTGTAGCCTACTTTCAAAGTATCCGACGGTTCCTAGTCTGTGCGGCAGTGTGGACATTTGACTCACTAATCACTATTTAATCAGTGTCTCACACACCATGCAGTGTGTGGCTCTTCTTGACTTGGTGTCATCAACACTGTGTGTTAAGAGCTTCATCTCTGGAACCTTTTGAACACATTCTCATCTTTAGCGTAGTAATGTGGTTTAAGTATATTTTAAAATTGATTTTAGTTTTGTATTTTGTGTTCCTTATTTTATATTTATTCGCATGTTGTGTTTCAGGCTCGGCCCACATGACCTCCAAGATTGGACTAAGATGAGTTCAGTGACCGCGGGGGTCAACAACAAGAAGAGGAAAAAACAAGAACCCAAGGCTCAGTCGCAAATGTGAGTCTAAATCAAACTGTATGTCTTCTAAAGCGCTGTATTTATTTTCCCACCAGCGTTGCATTACACTAGATGTTCATAACAACTCAGGTGTATCATTTGACTGTATTTATTTTCTACCCTCTACCGTGGTTTTGTACGAGTTGTCTCTTCGACAAGCGCGCCACAAACTAGTTGCGTCAGGCGGACACTGTGGGAAATTCGCGCTCCGTTACAATTGCCCTGTATAACGGTGTTTAATGAATGGCTGCACAAAAATTACTTTAATTGTTGCCAGCGTCCTCATTACGCACTATCGTGTGCGGCCATTTAAAATTTAAATCCCACAATGATGAAAGTTTGCTTGTTAATTTTGACACGACAAGGGCGTGGACGGTTTGATAGTGGTAATTTATAAAGATGTTTACGTTTTGCGAATCTCAAATTTTATTCTGTCTTCAGGAAGGTAACTGTTGGGAAAGTGTTTACATAATAAGTCTACATTAATTTAATTTAACCTGCGCATCTTGGTGGTAGATGATTCAAGGGGTTTTATAATCCTTACACATTGTTTGCATTCACAATCGTCATTTTTACAAGAATTTCTCGTAAGTTCCAAAAGGCGATTTTATGCAATGTCACATTCATGTCTCATGATTTTCTTAAAAACAAAAAACTTGGAACCAATTAACCAATTGGAAACAAATTAAAAATAATGTAATTAATGCTAACAGGTTTCATCGTCCACTATTTACTCACATGCATATTCATGAGAATCCCACTTTTTGCCACTATTTTCCCTCGTTCCACTACATAGGCCCCTGGGTTGGGTCTGCTATGTGTTATTGTGCCTGTAGGGCCTCACCAATCTCGCCTCGGCCGCCGCCGCTCTATAAAACTTTCCCTCGGGCTTTGTCGACCAATTTCGCTTCACTTTTGTTTGTCTTTTGGTTTCGTTCTGGCTAACAATACGGTCGGTCACATATCTTGGTATAAACACAGTTCCAAACAAGGAATTGACACGTTTCAAAATTATATTGTTTACGTATTAATTATGAGATTGATCTTTCAAATATTAACTCGTTATATATATAAGACAGAATTGAAGCATCTGCATCCTGCGATTCAATCAATATCAAACTGAGGTGTATAGTTTACCATATTCTGAAAAATTTTCAACTTTTTCTCACGAATAAAGTTTATTAGTGAAAGAGATTATGGGTATATTGCTAAATATATGTTTTGATTATATAGCTCAGACTTATAGAAATGTCTTGAATGTGATCTCAATAATGTTGCCGATTATACAGTTCAAAATCGTAGAATTATCTTGAAATTGAAATTGCAAATCTCGGTACCTAAGAACTGTAAAAGTTCCCCTAGTTTTCTACGAAGTTGTAAAAAACACTTGTTATCTGTTTCTGTGTGACGGCTGATGGCGGGCATGTGTCGCGATTCTCGCTCTGCAGGGTTCCCAAAACATGTTGGTCACAGTCGCTACGAAGTCAACAACCTCGGACCCGAGGGTATGGACCTAGGGCCGACGGCGGGGGAGGATTGGTAACGGTATTGTCTAAGGGAAGCCACCCTTTCAGCAGCAGGTAGAAAAAGGTCTTCGGTTCGGTTTAGTCTCACCCGGGGCGCGCATCTGCTCGGGTCGCAGTAGTGGTGGAAGTGTGTAGTGTAGTGGTAGTGCTGTAGTGGTGCAGTGTACAGTGCAACATGTGGTACTGCAACAACAATGAGTATCCTCAGTGTTACAACAAGTGTTACACTCAGCTGTATGCAAGGTTTGTACCGCATCTCGCAAAAGAATCAGCTGTCAAATGAAAGTAGTTTATCTTCGCTTTGTCGCTTCGTACCCTAATGAGCCATTAGGCTATTACAAATCCTATTCAATTTTGCCTCGCTTCGGAGACTTATCAATTACAATATCTACGTTTCTGTTTTTACTTCTCTCCACAAAATGACCGTCTTAAGGGGTTTTACTACGAAACGTCAACAATGCGGATTTTTTACATTCAGTTGCGACACTATAAATGCCATAATCATCAATCAGTTAATTATTGGTCATAATTTTACTTTCAATGTTATTTCAACATCCTATCCCATCATGTTTGTAAATAAGCAATCAATACTTGTAGGAGAAAATTTCACTCATGTAATTTTAAGAAATCTATTTAAAAATATTTTGAAAATAAATTCTTTGATGAGGAATAAAGACAACAGTTGACAGCGATTGGTTGACAGCGAATCGGGAATACGATTGGCTTGCAGTAGTGGGTTTGTAGATTATTTTGATCCAAAGTTCAGCTTGTTCGTTCCAGTGATCGTGTGATGGATGGACTGACAAACGGATCATTTTTTATATTATAAATGCACAAAGAAACTGTTCTATATATGCAATGCTTCACATATGTAAAAGAACAATAACAGAGCGAGCAATAACTAAAGGTCAAGATGTGTGTAAGATAAAGATTGAACAATTAGGCAAAACCAAACTATACTAACATGTATTGCAATTATGATATCAAAGGATAACTTGGAAATGTCAATAAATAACAATTAGGCAAACGATAGTAAACCTATAGAGGTTTAATAGAATTTTTAACAATGTAAATAAAATAATAAAGGTGTGCTTGGAACATGGCACTAATCGTAACATATTTGCTTACAAAGTTTTCAATACGAACTGTTAGCATACGTTCATAATCCGTAACTGACTATTTTCCAAACGTGTGGCATTTCCATCAGCAATACTGTACTATATTCCCTTGCTCTGTTGTGCTACAATTACATATTCCGACTGTTTGTTATTTCTCGGAATATAAACGTATAATAGCGTGCCATGTGTTCGTGTCGACCCAATGTTTGTGTCGTTAATGTTATCACAGTTGGACAATGAATGTTATCACTTCTCTGTAATTGTTATTTTAATGGGGCAGTCATTTTATTTCTTGACCTGTATGATTGATATTAGCTTAGTCCATTCGTGAACTGAGTGTGAATTTGTATGCACATTTTTATACTTTTACCAGAAACAGCGTTTACATTAGTCTAGATACCTCTATTGTTTCTTGAAACTAATACAGTGTACTAACGTTAAACATATTCTCCGTACTGAGGAGGATTGCTAACTCACAATTTAGTTAATTAGGGAATTAAAAAGTTGGTGATTCCATCATAAAATAAAACAATTTATTTCGATCATATGAAATTAGATACGTTAAGACATTTACCACTGGGCAAGTGCAGACGAGAAGGGAAATTTGCTTTTTTAGCACTTCTACAGTTGGCAATAGTGATGCGACGTCATTGCACAGTTGGTAGCCCTGCGCCTTGCCTTGTCCGCTTCGTCGGTCCCTTGTTCCTCTCGTCTGTTAAGTTTTTACCAATTATTATTACTGTAACTGAAACTTTTCATTATTTGTTTTTTTTTTTTTTTTATAGTTTTCACACAATTTTTAGTTAGGTAATTATATTATAGTCGTTCAGTTTTTTTTTCTCGGGCAAATGTTACTTATGTTAAATATACTGTACTCAATTTAACTTGTTTTCAAGCCTGATTTATTTCCGCACACAACAATTAATCTTTATTCGCATTATCCACGGACAAAATTTTAATCGATTGTATTTCGGATATTTTTAACGTTTTATTTGTAAATCATAATATTTTATGTTCTTGTAAATTGCTAGGGTCATTTGAGTAAATTCAAAAACTCCAAAGCATAGATAATTCCAACTCTCTTTGAATCATACAAATGTGCATTAATGGTACTGTTTGGACTAAATGTATTGTTATTGTTAAAGTGACATTCATGAAATGCTATTTTAATATGCCAACGGGCATATGATGTGTTTAAATCAACATTCAAACACAATTTGTAGTAGGCTACAACGGGTAAATGGGGTTTTGTTTGATTATATAAAGTTCAGGAAGATGTTTGATATCCAACCAGACTGGTTTTATATTTTTGTACCACAGTTTCCTTCTTCGTTTTTATTCTCCTTTAATTCCCCATTGATCTTCTTTATACATCTTTTAAGTCACTCGGTCACATTCGCACTCTATCGTTCTACACAACATTTATTCCTACTTTGCGGTGCTGATGGCATAATACACACGAACCTGTCACTATCCTCTATCCAAACCTGTATGTAACAATAATCCAAATGTAGTGACCATAGTAAGTCACTTGGTGACGCGTTGTTGCATCATAGCTCAGCCAATAGCGGCTCAGCATTCAGCACTCGGCAGTAGCTGATGCGGCAAGTTTTGTTTATACGGCTCAAGGCTTGCTGCGGCATACTGCTGAGTGCATACTGGGCAGTATCTCGCATACTGCGATACTGGGACAGTAGGTGTAGGCCGCAGCCGCCACTATGAAGTAAGTACGCTCTACATACTCTTATCGCTGATCCATTTATTTGTTAAATTAACGTTACATATTTTTAAGCATTTTTTTACGCTGGAAAATAGGAAAACACATTTAGGTGTGTGTGTGTGTGTGTGTGTGTGGATAGTTTAATTACAAGGACCTAATTAAGGAATTACAAAGTAGTTTGTATAATCTGTAAGACATTGTGATATTTAGGTTTGTCCCCGATATGATAGACCTAACCAGCCGGTCGAAGGCAAGTAAACGTCTACAAGACAAAATACTTAGATTGGTTGCACACTACTGTACAAATTTACGGATAGCAGCAGACCAATACATAATTTTGATTTATTCTTAAAATAATATTAATGTGAAAATTAGTCCTATGTTTTATTGAATGCCCAATGTATTCAGCAAGACTAATTATTTCAGAATGGAACGAATTTTACCCTTTGTTACGCAAATTGACGCAAAATATTACCAAATCATTATGTCAAAAGAGGAAAGTGTCAACTTTTGTTAACAGGCGCAAGTGAAAGTGTCACATCCGTGTTTTACAGTGAATTGGACGTTTACATTTACATGACTGACTCACTCTTATCAGCTGTGCGTAATCTCTGAGAAGAAGAATTTTATTGTTTATCCCTCTGTGATGTAATACAAACACGTTTAAATAAAGTGATTTTTATTAATGTTAACCCAATGGATCGTAGTGTTACAGTAAAAGCAAATGAGGTGATCGTTGGTGGCTCAAAACCCCCTTCTATTTGGAAATAAACTGTTTTCCAATATAATGGCCGTGTATAGAACACGTGAAAGATAATTTTGTTACGTAAACAATTTATACTTGTACAACGAAAAAAATAACTTTTTTCGCTTAGCTTTCTCATACGATAAAATCACCTTGACCTCTAGGGTTTTAGGTAAGAACGCCATGCAACTAATAGCTACTGTTAGTGCACGTGTGTGTTGGGTGATGTTCGTTCATGTCATTTGAACTGCCCAGGCGCCAGTCTTGCCAAGGAGTTGCCTTTTGTGGAAAAGTGACTTGCTACCTGAGATACATGGGAACTTGTCTCTTTACAGTGGACATATTATCACTTAGTGCTCCCGTGTGGCAGCTTAATGCGACTAGTTGACCAGCCCGCGGCTGCAAAGTTGAACTATTTAAATAAAACTTACGAAGGGATGAAGTTAAAATCCTGATCCACTAACTTACTTGTATGAACAGAATCATATAATTTCGACATCATAAGATGTGGTATTGCCCCTGAACTGGTTGCCTATATTAGAATCATATAGTCACATAATTGACGGTGCACCATTGTGTGAAGAGGCAGTTTAGGGGACATCTCAAATTATAGTAATAATATAACACATTTCCTTGAAACAATATATTTTGATTTGCAATGTCAAAACTTGTGAATTCAAACTCTTTTAATGATAAAAACCGCCCTATCACTTGGATCTGTTAAAAAAAGTCGGCTTCGATTGACTGCGATCAGGATCGTATCTATTATTGCTGTCACCTTTAAATATTTATACTTGATCTATATCATTAATTGTGTCAAAATATATACCCCTGATATTGCTTTGTACGACAGTTCCTCGGTGAATCGCACATTGCAGATGCATCCATCCTTCTATATATACCCGCTCTTGTCTCCATCGCTGTATTTTTACCGAAGCAGACGCTCGTTTCCTTCTTTCTTTGTCGGGTAAAAATAGTGGTATAAAGTTGGCGACGCTGCCAAATACCTGGCCGCAATAAAATGGCCAAAACGTTGGACAGGTCAGTTACGTCTCCTGCCCTGCCGCAACAGCCTTTGTTGTGCATCGCCACCGCCCTTCTGTGGAAATAGAAGGGAATCTTGGCACAGAACTGGTCTTCACTTTACCTTTAAAATTTATCGATTCTCTTAGTAATGTATACTTGCCAATCGTTTTTGTTTCAGTGCAATTTCACTTGTTTAATATCGGAGTAAAAATTTGATTCGGTGAAAAATAGTTGTTTTCACCGGAATATAGTCTGTCTTTTGTCAGGACCATGAAAAAGCTACTGACTTTGTTAGCATCAAAGCAGCCAACCTTTGTCAGGCAAGCACTACCAAACCACTTTTCTTCTCTCTGTGCAATTAGAAGTAAGCAGCAATGTTATCCATTTTCTTGAACATGGTTCTGTTGCTAAATCATGGCCATTGGACATATATTCTGATGTGAAGACATATGGGTGAAAACAATGTGGAAACATGTAGTCTCTATTTGCAACATAATAGGCGATGTCTCCACCGAGACACAGTACAGTACTACTCGGGACAATTGTTGACTGTTGCCACTTGCCAGTGTACTACTATGGCCTACAAAGCCACATCGGTGAATCAACAGATTGCATAATGACCTACTAAATTTGACCAGTGGCAGTGGTCTGATTTATTGCTAAGTAACACAAAACAACTTGTATTACACAGTACAAACCCATCTGAATACAGTTTTTGTACATGATTGTAACAGTCTGGGTGCATGACAGTTTTATGAATGAATTTGTAGGTAATTCCATAGTTTGTTGTAATTTTATTACAAACTGTACGTTCAAGGGTTTATAAGACAAGTAAATGACACAAATGCCAATATTGCCAATTGCTGAGGCACACAATAAAATACTTAAAGTAATATAAATATGCTGATAACTTTCTACTTAGGCCTATGTAGCATTTCTACTAAAGTTTTTTTTTTTCATATCGTACTCTTTTGTTTAATGCAATGATACAAACATCTAAACATCTAAGAGTTTTCCTAAATTTATATTTGATTTGCAATATTTGTGCTGTTTTTAAGCCAACTTCAGTCTAACTCTAGTATTTTAAAATACATGGTTTTCCACAAAAGATAACAGCTAGTAACCAAATCTAAAACAGAAATAGACGGAGAATAGATGGATTGATGTTAATTTAAACATTCTACTTAGCTAATGTGGTTTTTCTGATTACTACATATACCATTGAAAGGTATGAGTTTGTTAGTGTTTCTGAAGACATGTGGAGTGGAGTTAGTTTTGTGAAGGTTTCTACCTCTGATTGATTTATGGCTCCTAAAAGCTTGAACTTTTATATGTCATAAATCAACCCATGTCCCTACCCCTCCCTCTATTTGACACTCCACTGTTGGACAACACTGTTCTTTTAGAAACTTAGTGCTCTGCTAGATGATGTATACTTATGAAATATTGTTTGTACAAATTTTGATTGTAAATTTATTTTGTATAAGGCTTAAGGGGATACGCCACTATCTCCAACTTTTTTTTTATTATTTTATTTTTGTCAACCTAGTTAGTATATTTTGTTTATACTAGACTTAGTTAGAAGATTTAGGTACAAAAATATTGAATTTATAACTTATTTACTAAATTTATATGCGTTTTTAGTTATTTTTACCAAAATTTTTAAGAAGTCGTTATTGAGAATAACTTTTCAACTACTGATCGGAATGACATATTCTATTTATTTCCTGATTCAGGATGAAATAATGAGTAATTCTGTGTATAATCGTTATGGTAACTAAAAAAACAAAATTTTTAGGACACCTTTTATTCAAAATATAAAAAAGCTGAAAAAAATATTTAAAATTTTTGCGTAAACATAAATATTTTTAGTAAATGTAATGCTATAGGGCTTACTATACACACAATCCTTTATTACTATATAAAGAAGGTCTGGTGAAAATTTGAATACTATAAGTATAGTACTAACGGAGTTATTCAAACTTTTGTACAATAATAACCTAAAAAACACGGTATTGAGATAATCGCAGGTGATGTAACAGGTGGTTGGCAGGAGAAAAATTCCCATAACTACACTAATTTATCATTTTATATTATATATAAAAATAGCAAAGTACTTATTTTGTTTTAAATAAATGTACCCTATTTTATACCTTCATAATACATAATTATGATACACAATTAAAAGTGTACATATCAGGAACAAAAAAAAATAGTTCAAAATTTTGTTAAATTGCTGGTTGCGGCGGTTTATATTTTATTTTTTTTTATACTAGAAGGAGTTGTCAGATTGGCAAACAATTTTAGCTAAATGTTCACATTTAAATGACCTATCTGAAAATGCAACTTTTGGAAAATGTAAAAAAAAATTAAAATATGGCCTACAGATAGTGGCGTATCCCCTTAAAGCCATATAGAAAATTTCAGAGAAAATAAGTACACTTATAAATTTGAAAATGAATAATCTCAGAAGGGTAGCTGGGTAGGTAACCAGTAGAAATATTGTTACATATTTGGATGAACTTGAAATATTTATATATTTTTTCAACCATTACTTTTGAGACAACAAGCCCTGCAAACCACACATTTTCAGCTGGAATTAGTGTAGGATGAAGTTAGATGATCTGTGTAGAAGATCAACTGTTCAGGACCATGTAAAAGCTACTGTCTTTTGTCAGAGTCAAACCAGTGACCTTTTGATTGTGCGAGCACTCTGACCACCAACAAATCCAACCACCCTGTGACCACCAACAAATCCAACCACCCTGCTACACTCCTCTACTTACCTATATTTTTTATTCAGCCCTAATCCACATTTCTTATCCAGTGTTGTGGTCTGTTACAGCAACAAGTGCCTTAATGAGAAGCGGCGGCGAGAGCAGGAGAACATCCACATTGAAGAGCTGGCTGAGCTGATTTCCGCCAGCTTCACGGAGATGAGCTCACTGTCTGTCAAACCCGACAAGTGTGCCATCCTCCAGGAAACAGTGAACCAGGTAGGCTCACCCAGCCAACAACTAGGTAGGCCATTGACCAAATGCGACATCCTCGAGGAAGCGATCAACAAGGTATGCCAACAGAGCAGAATGGCTAACTCAGTCGGGCGATAAACTGGATGGCCTGGGAAGTAACTAACTCATGTCGGCTAACAGACCTAGCTTGCCAACAGAACTAAATAACGCAGAAAGTTGCTCATGTTAGACAACAGAGTTATCTGGGATATTTCTTTCTTTAATTTGGGCCGGTATGAATGGCATATCTGAAGGTAGTTCTTTAATGATGGGCTTGCCAGGAATAAGTTTTTCTAGTCAAGCAATGAAAATGGCATACCTGGAAGCTTTGTAATGACAAACTTACTTCAGACATTATTTTTTCTAGTTCAACAATAAAACTGATTCAAACGAGAAGCTACTAAACAATTTCAGTCGATAGAAAGAACTAATCTAGAAAGTTGTAAAGCCATTTTACCAATGGAATTGGCAAAGCCAGGAAGTTGCTAACTCGTGGTGACCAGTGGAGTCAGTGTCGTCGAGCGATATAACTGGCTAACTCAGGATGGTTTGAACTCATGTCAGGCAATAGGCATTAGAACTGGCTTACCTGGGAAATTGCTAACTCATGTCCTACAAGGGAACCTCGTAAATCACTAACACAGCTTGAGAGTCAGGAGTTAGTTCAGGAAGTGACTAATTCATGTTAGGCAACAAATATGACTAACATGTTGTGAATCTAATTGGCTAACTCGGGATGTCGCTAATTCATGTCTGGTTTACAATTAATCTTATGGTGTACTTTTATTCTTTTAGAGGGTAATAGAATATTATCAGGATACAAGTGATACTCCATAGGTTAAATAAGTTAATGTTTTCTTTAATTAATTAATGTTTTCTTAACTGTTCCAAATTTATACATATTCAAAACCTTAGTAATGGTACAATCAAACTATGAAAATTTATTAAATGATAATTTTGACCATAGATACAACACAAGGTTTAAAAATAATTTTCAATTACCGATCCATCGTCTGCGTCTCATTGAAAAGACACCAACATACATGGGGAAAAAACTGTACAATAAGTTACCACTAGGTTTAAAAAATATAGCCAATACAATGTCATTTAAAAAGAATCTATCAAAATTTTTAATAGAAAAAAACTACTACCATATTAGTGAGTATTTGTTGTAAACTATTTTTAAATCAAAGTCAGTATTTTTATTTTTATTGTATTTAATTTTTTAACTATAGAATGTAAGATGATCAACAATGTATTTATTATAATTTTGACAATGTCACCTGTTTTGTAGCTAAGCTATGTATAAACGTTTTGTGACAATAAAGTTTGATTTGATTTGATTTGATTTGATTTGATTTTTGATTTGAATTAACATAGGAGGTATGAAGGATGAAATGAGGTAGATTTTCCCTTTCAAGGCTATTTGCTATCTAAGCTCCTTTGAGGTGTTGTGATTTTTGTTTATTGCTCCTTGCTGATCAATTCAACAATGTAGACTTTGTGTTTTGTATCGCATTACTTTATAAATGTTTGCCAAGGGATGTTTCATCCTAAGATGTTACATACTTGACACTCAGGGGCAGATGCAACAGTTGAGGGGAAACATTTGGCTGGTGAAGATGAAGGTGAAGGAGGTTGGGGGGGGGGGGGCAGTCTGCTACACACAACTGTTACTTGTCCATCACATGTGTACATTAGTCACTCCATCCTCCATGTCAATCAGGACCCCATTAGGCCCCCTTCACCCCACTAATGTTGTGTTTACTCTTTACTTTATTTTTGTATTAGTAATATAAATGGTAAAACCTTTATACAGTCAAAACTATCCTGCAATAGTATATTTTATCACTAGGTACTAATTTCGTCTAGAGCCTAAGTTTCAGACCAAGGCGAAGTTGAGGGTTAGGCAATATCGAGTTCGAGCTCGGGTAGAAAAGTCACTCTTTGCCTGTGTAAAGAACTAAATTGTAATCTGAGTTTACAGCAGCTGACTTTTACTCCCTGGGGAGTAAAAAAACTACTTTAGATGTGCAAAAGTATAAAAACGTCTGTTTTTGCTGAAGTATGACGTGAAAGTAAATTGGTTTTCAAATAAAAAAAACTGATTTTGAAATATTGATGTTTTTAAATTTGGTCCGACTTTTTTAAATGTTTTGTTTTGTCAATTCACTGTGATTAGCCAAAGAAATTGCAGGCCTGTCTTAAAATATAATTGTTATAACTGATCTTGGCCCAATACATTGTATTGCTTTGCTAATACAATACTGTATAGGCAGTCCTTTCTAAATTTCTTTTGCGTTAGCCTAAATTTCCCAAAATAAACTTATATTCAATAAAAATATTCAGTAAAAATTTATATTCAAGCTGCAAAGCAAATATATAACTAACTCCACAACTGTCTGAAAAATGTTGTATTATTTGCAGTTTAGGACTTTGAAAAATAGTTTTATTTTACACCAACAAATATGAATAGTAATAAAATTGCCAAAAGCCAAAGAAAAAATAAACAATCTTTATGTCAGACAGGAATAGTGATCAGGTTTTTGTTATGGTACAAAGGAAAGAGCAGTTTTCAACATCGGATCATAAGCAAGTGTGCTTGACATGCAGGGCTCTTGACAATAGATATCACACATCAAACCCACTTTGTGTAAGGGGATCAAACAAACATTTACAAACAGGAAAGCTTTATGTTGTTTTTTTAACTCCATGTTATTTCTGCATTTTATTTATTGGAACAAAGTATTCAATAACTTTACATGTCAAGCCAACTTTAAAATTCGTTAATTTAGAATTGTGGTAACACAGTGGAAGTATTTTAGTTATTTTGGGATTTATCTATGCCAGTGGTGTTTTAAAATTTGTTGTAAGCGTATGGTCCAAACCTTGCTTAGTTAAGTAAACTCAAATATTATTAAAAGATTTGTAAATGGAACGCTTTTGAGGTTTAGTGGTCTGAAATTGTATTTAGAAGAAATATGCAACATACTTTATTCAGGGCGATGTTTCAATCATAATACAGTTTATTTTGCTTGTTCAACAACAACAAATACCACACAAACACAAACAAACAAACAAATAATATGTGATAGTATGTGAGTTGGCGGATCAATGGTAAGTATTTTTTTAATTTGTGTAAGGTTATGGTTCAAACCCTGGCCTTGTTACCATCTACTGTTCTTTTTCTTACTATTCCTCTAACCTCCCTCCTCTGTATAGGAATAAAGCTGACATAGCATTATCCAGGGTAAAAATATAAATTAATGTTTTTTTTTATTAGAGTTATATTGTTAGAGTTTTTAATATTCTGTGTAAATTTCAGATCAGATCCATCAAACAGCAGGAAATAACTGCCAATTGTGATGCCGCAGTTCAACAAGGAGAGGTCTCCTCCTCTAAGCCTACCATCATAGCTCATGAGATATTCGGACCCTTACTACTCGAGGTAATCATCCAACCCTCTGAATCTTAGTCTCTGTACCACACAATTTGGTTGACAACATCTTGATCTCTGTTTGTTTAAAACTACCACTTTGTTCAAAACTCTCAGAAAACATTGCTTAAAGTTGTGTATTCTAACTTATTGTTGTTTCAGGCACTGGAGGGGTTCCTTTTCGTAGTCAGTAAGGAGGGCAACGTCGAGTTTGTCACCGACAACGTTACCAATTTCCTTAATTATAGCAGAGAAGAAGTTCTTGGAAAGTGTATTTATAATTTCATCCACCATGGAGACCATGTCAGGTAAGCTAAATCAAGTGTTTAAATAGAGGTTCACTTCAACACACACAATCCAGAACCAAATTTCCAAAAATACAAGCTTTTTATGATAAAAATCTTACAATAAAAGATTTTAATTACCTGTATCCGTCAAGTGATCCTGGTTCACTATAGCCACCCCAATAGTGGCCCTATAGTGGCCTATAGTATCCTGGTTCACTAGTATCCTGGTAATTGGTTGACTATAGCTGTTTCATGTTAATATTAACATGAAACAGTTAATATTAACATGTATCACTTGACGGATACAGGTAATTTAAACCTTTTATTGTAAAAATCAGTGATCCAGAGGCTATATCATAAAAATGAAAATAAAAATCTTGTTGAAACTAACCAGTATGACAGATAACTCTTGAGATGAGTCATATGATAGGTGCCACTAGAGTGAAAACGGGAGTTGCAGAAAATTAGCTATTGTATAATGTAGGCTAAACATTTTTATAGAAACAAAAATGTGATTAAATTCAAAAATGCATTATAGCCTCATTTTAAGGTCCTATTTTCCAAGAGGGACCCCTGGATCCTGTAGACCGCCTTGTAAATTGCCCCATATGAGTTTATAACTCATAGTAGCACCATTCAGGATTGATTTACTTAAGAGTCTTTGGAGGCTAGCGGCCATCTTGGATAATTGTAATTAGCCGCTGAAGAGTTAATAGTTATCATCCAAAAATATTTTTTTTAACACTTAAGTGATTATAATTTAAATATCCAAAATAACTGTGGGATTAGGTTGGCGTTCTATTCGGTTGATGAGTACACTGCACACTGTTGGAGTTAAGGGCACAGTATTATATTCCCCAGGGGTTAAGGGTTAAATGTGTTAAGGCTTTCCTGATACATGTACAATGTTTTGTAGTTTTCCTGGGTTTCTTTTATTTATTGAAATATTTGATAAAAGTTAACTTTTATTTAAATTGTAATTTGGTAAAAAAAATGTCTATGTAACCTATTTCAATGTAAATATTAAAATAAGTATGCTACACAATGTAAAAATTGTCAAGAGCAATAAATGAATAAATAAATAAATTAGAAATTGTCTTTGTGGCTTTGAATTGTTTTCCAAGGGAGTCCATGGAAGCCAACGGCCATCTTGGATTTGCCCGCCATAAGAGGAATGCTAAATTTGTTAATTTCAAACAGCCGCTGAAGAGTTATTAACCATCTCAAATTATTTTTTTTTAAATCCCAAACAAAATACACTCTGAACAGTCAAGCCATACTATTTTGTATGTAATTTAGTTGCGGTTCATTATATTGGTTCTTAATTTAGAAGTAGGTTTAGTAAACCAACAATTTCTTTGATTAAAAAATTATATTACAAGTAACAGTTTAATGTTCTTTGAAGATTAGATATTTTAACTGTTTATAATTTAATAGTCAACATTAAAGATCTGTTGCCAGTATGAAATTCTTCAAGAAAAAAGCTCTACAAAGATATAATTTTTTATAGCATTGGAGAAATGACTCTTTGTTATCTATCCTCTATAGTCTTTAGTTATTTCATGTATGTGTCTACTTCTATCTGAGAGATACTTTCTGTAGATTTGGGTGATTTGACCAGAATTTGAATCTAGAGTGCCATAAATTTGAGTTATATTTTTCTAGCTTCCAACAGATATATATAGATGTGGGGTTTTGCAGGTTCAACCATGTGCTGATGCCGGTCAGTAACATCGGCTGGCTCCCCGGGGTAGACCAAGCACAGAAGAACAGAACCTTCACGTGCCGCCTCCTAGTCAAACCTCCGGACGAACAAGAAACCATGGAGGAGAAGCAGCAGAGAGTTAGCAAATACGAGAACATGCAGGTCAGTTACAAGAATATCTATAACGTAGATTATCTTAAGTCTGGTCATCCGAAGCGGCGGTTAACTCTAAAAGGCTGATCACCAGTGTTACCGTGAATGCAGGAGACGATTATTGGTGTCGCCAAGACCGCGAGATATGCTCATGGGTGTTTCTAAAGTCACAGGAGACAATACAAACTAGTAAAACTTACGGATAAAAATATTTTAAAATGCCCTCAACCTAAGTCAAAGTAATATATCTCATTTTTATTGTCGATGACCGACCGTCTAAAAAAGTCAGTTACCCTAACACCCCCCTTCCCCAATTGCTTCTGAAGTAGTTTCAGGTTAGTCATGAGAATAATCATACGCATACTATGCATGTTATACTATGACAACTGAGCAAGAGTTACATTCCTAACAAAAATTTGTTAAAACTATGATTTGGATAATTTAGCTACAGCAGGCTTTTACTTGAGGAGGTCAATAGTGTGCACAGCTCCACAGTCCTTTGACATAAAGTTACATCCTCCCAACCTTCCACACAAATCAAGCTAATTTCAAATTAATTTAGTGTGACGGATTTAAATTACTTTTTAGAGTATCCTCTCATAAGGCCACCTGACTTGATGACGATTGGGTAGCATAACATTTTCCTGATTGCTGCATTATGTAATTTACTAGCTTAAATTGAAAATTATACCTATTATTTAATAGTTTGTACCAGTGATATACATATAAACATAAATTTACAAAATTTATCTATAATAACTGAACAAAACTTAAACAATACAATAGCTCAGGAAGGACTACAGTAGAACCTCTTTAATCCAAACTAATTAGGACCGGGGGTAGTTCGGACTATTGAATAGTTCGGATTACAGAACATGTTGTTTTAACATAACAACAGCTAGGGAAAATACAGTAGTATGTTAAACATAGGGAAAAAACAGTACTGTACATTACAATTGAAATAAAAACGGTGCGTATATCAATACAGTATACAATAAAGAACTACTGTACTGTGTATAGAGTACAGCAATGAGGCGTTCGGATTAGTGGAAGTTCGGATTACAGGGGTTCGGATTAAAGAGGTTCTGCTGTATACTCATTCAATAACGAATGGAGAAGCAGAAAAATATCTATGGGATTGAATGCGTAGGAGGCATCAAGTATGGTTTTATATAACATCCTCAGCTTTTATTTTTGACCGATCGTGACCAGTAAAAGAAATGTTGTACTGTATTAAAAGTTGCCGGTTAGAAGACTGTTATTGTTTTGTCTACCATGACTAGGTACAGCACATCTGGTTGAAAGTTAGCTGGATTCGAGGTAGACCTCTGTAGTGTTAACCCTTTTAAAATAAATTTGTATAATACCTTATACCCAATTAAATCTTTTGTCTAGGAATTCTTCAAAATAGTTAATGTTCTTTTTTCTTGAATGTCCAATTTAATTAAACTAATTTAAAGTATACTTTTCGCCCTACTTTTAACATTCTTTATCCTACCCCTACGGTACAATTAACTCAAGCACTTACATCCGTTGTAAATTGTATTTCTCATTTTGAATCACCTAATTCAACTACCATTGATAAAAATGCGAGTCATTTTTGTTAATTAACGTTATTTTAGTGGGCTACTAAAACACCACTTATATGACTTGAATCACATTACTGGTGATTTTGCGAAACCAATCTTAAATAACAGATGGGATAGGACTGACAGAGAAACTGGAAAAATTTATTATGATTCTGCGACATGAACTGTAAACATATTCTAAAGCAGATTTTGTTACTTTCATTTTAAATATAAAGTTTTATGGTATGTTTTGGCAATGTCTGTTGTGTGTGTGGCTGTTGGACTGAGTTATCTCAGGGCACAGTGTTATCTTATCATTGTGCCGAGATGACAGGACTGTGGCTAACCTAACCTTATTGTTTTGTATCCCAGTAACATGCAAACTTAAAACGGTAAGCGCTCTTATTTCATTTGGATTCCAAATTGATGTTTGAGTAAGGGTATCAACCCTTATTGCAATGGTACATGTAGAGAGCTACAACCTTAGTATTTAACACTATAAGAATAGTTTTTACACAATAAGCTTTTATTGTGTTGTTAGATAATGCCAAAGAATTCTTGTAAGAGGTATTGTTGACACACTAAAAACGTATAGGGTTGTTGGTATCCCTTTTGGTTTGGTATGTTTCTTTGATCGCTAGTTAACATTTTAAGGATAAACGTGTTCAATTAAGTTAAACCTACAATAACTAAGGATAGCTACTTAATACTAAAGCTAACTAATGTTAATCATACTTCATACTATCATAATATAATACTAATATTCTAAATGTGAAAGTTTGTTTGTTTCCTTTGTTTGAAGTTCAATCACGCATCTGGTCGGATTGGGCTGAAATTTGGCATTATGATACCTCAGATTCCTGATTAACATATAAGCCTACTCTTATCTCAAAAATCCTTTCGGGCTCCGCCCCAGTGGCACTGTTATTTTTTTTCATTGTATTATGACAACAGCTAATTTTATCTAAGCAGCAACAAAAGATGTCATACACAATGAGAACTGTCAAAGTTGGATTGTTTACAGTTATGTTTATGTAATTCTTATGCTGTATGATATTAATTTATGGTTATACCATTGCAGGCGAAGCGGCGGGTAAAAGCTAGTGAAACATAAATACACATTCGATACATGTACATTATGTTTAGTTATTTCAAAGTACCCGTTTCATCTTAACTATGTTATATATTAGTATTATACTCTGTTCACAAAATTTTAGTTTGAGGGGATCCAATTTCATCCATTCCACCTCTTCATAACATCGAAATAACAGCCAACAACTGATCAGCTGATATACATTAAGTTAAAAAACATGGTGTTGGAGACCAGGAAACCTTCCCCTTAAACAGCCTGAATTTTGTGAACAGAGTATAGAATACTAATGTAGTTATAAGTTAGCGAATGCATTGAAATTGAGGTGAGAGGGGGACCATCAGACTAATGATAATGTAACATAATGTAATGTTTTACTCCTTGACAACATAGCATAGCATAGTAATTTGTGCCATGAGATTGAGGCATTGTGTTTTCTGCTAATACTACATATCAATAGACTCTGACATGCCCTTCCATTTGAAACGATTGTAGTACACCACTGCTACATCAGTGACACATTAGCAACTACAGTAATAGTCAATAATGACAGTGAGTCCAGTCTTAAAATGTTGAATATAAATCTGGAGAAATGCACTTGATCTTCAAGTAACCTAACAATTTATGTTTTTACAGATCTCATCAACCCAAGTTCCGTTTCCCGGCAACAAGTCCGGGGAGGGGAGTGGTGGAGGGGAGGAGTGTGGGGACTTTGGTCCGTGTCTGATGTGCGTCGCACGGAGGATACCACAGAACGAGAAACACCTCCAACTGGGCGCACCGATCGAACAGTTCGCTATCAAACTGGAGCCGAGCGGGAAGATCGTCGCTGTAGACGCTAGTGGACTGTCGAGTAACTACTCTCAGTACATTAACAAGGTACTGTACTGCTGATTATTGTGTGATTAACCTTGCATAGTTCCAAAGAATAATAACGAAAATTAATACAGAAAATAAACTACTTTTATAGATATGTTGTTGTAAAAGTTCAGAATTTCTTTTGTTTATTTTGTAATTGCTAAAGAACAGCTAATAACAGAGATACTAAAGAAGTTCTCTGTGATTAATCTTTTATACCTAGGGAAACAAATATAATAACAACTAAAACTGTTTAAAAAAATAGAATACTGAACGTTTCAGGGGAACCGTTAGTTTTGGCAACATTAAAATAACTATTATGAGTAAAGTTTTATGTTTGTTTGCGTGTGTTTAACTAAATCATACAGTATATAGTAAACTCTATTGTTTTAAGTTTTAAGGTTCTACTAAAACTGAAATGTTTTCAGGACCTTATAAACTGGAACATTCACGAGCTTGTACACCCAGCAGACAAGGGGAAGGCAGCCAATTACCTGAGGGATATGTTGGGCGGCTCTGGCAACAACGACAGTGTAAGTCCGATCTACAGACTTCGGGTGTCTCACACGCAAGACAAGTACGTCCACGTCCAGACCAAGGCAAAGTTCTTCAAGTGTTCAGGCAATGCGGAGAGTGACTTTGTCATGGCGACACACTCCATCATCAACGACAACGACGTTGTGGCTGCAGAAGCCAACTCTCCACAGTGCTCCCAGAGTTCGGGCAGCGGTAGTGTTGGTGGCCCGTTGATGGGCAGTGTTAACGGGAACGTGCGCGAAGGAATGATGAGCACGAACTTTACGAGTTTCTCGTCAAATAATGACTTAAATTATGATTTTATGGACTTCCCGACGTCCACGCTGGTGGGCGAGCTAGGCATGATGACGGAGGAGAGGCCGTGGGATCGCCCAGAGAGTAGACATTCAACCCCCGCCCCTAGTCCCCACCCCTCGTTTGCCCCCGCGCAGCCGAGCCCATACCAGTCCACAATATCGTTCCCCTTCAGTCCGATACCAGATCAGCCGCCACCCTTGGAAGAAACCAAAGAAACGAGGAAAGACAGCACGGATAACGGCAGCTCCTCAGAAGGTAACAGACTTGTAGTTTTAAGTGAAATGTATCAGTTATAGAAGTAATTAAAATGTGTATACTAGATTCAAGCTATAGTGAATGAGCTATGGGAAATGGAAGGGGAGTGTAAAACTTTGAAACTATTTAGTTGTGTCATACCTTTATATTTTGCTCTGGTGATTTGATTGTTTTACACAAAATCAACAGTCCATGACAAATCAACAGTCCATGACCCTTTAGAAGTTCTACAATGTTTTAATAAATTACTTATTTAGTTATGTCTTATACAAAAGTTTGCTAATTGGGTATTCCATTCAATTCTTTTCATTCAGCTGCCAAATTTTAGATTACTACATTTAGTTGTAAATTTATTCATCACACAATTAACGTATGACAGGAGACTCGGCGCGGCTGCGAAACTTGCTGCTGATGAAGCGTCCGAGCGTAGATAGTGACGAAGGAGGAGGGGGAGGGGGACAGAAACATCAAGTACTCAAGACATTGCTGAACCAAGAGGAGGAGGACCCCAGTAAAACTAGACCTGCCTCGGACCCACCCACACCTACTCCCAAGGCGTCTTCCGGCAACAACATGCTGCTCAAGGTAGACATTTCATTCATATGAGGCCTTAGTTTATAAAACTAAAATTAATTTATTTAGTAATTTTTTTTATTGAGAAGCTATTCACAAATAATAAATGTTAATGGTGAAATAAATTCATATTCTTAAATTGTAACTGTTTCAGCTGTTGAATGAGAAGAGTGATGATGATGATCATGAGTCAAGAGCTGGACTGAAGAAGCAAAACGAGCTTCTGACACAGCTGCTGAAGGAGGAAGAAAATAAGAACCAACACTCGCACATTGATGTAAGTGAGGCCAGAGGTAGATTCTTAATAAGAAACATTGAACACTTATAATTTATAGTTAGTGGTTCTTGTAACGGATAAAACTTAAAAACAAATTACTGTGACTTAGACGTTCACAAATAATGTCTTGTATCATGCATGGAAACGATTGCATTGATAAAAAAATTGGATATTCACAACTAATAAATCAGTAAATATTTTTAATGGCTATGTTTGTGGAGTCAAAAATATCAACTTTGAGGTTTCTTCCCAGTTTAGGGTACATTATCCATAAAAACACTATCCATCCAACTCCTCAAGCTTTAAACCTTCAGTTTAATCCTTGTAATTTTTCTATGAAAATAAATTCTATAATTTTGCTTGATATAGGCTATGAATTTATTTTTGCCCAATAATGACCATATGATCTTATTTCCGCAGGGACAGCAAGAAGACCCTCTGCTCAAGTCGCTCGGCTTCTCCCCGTCACCAGAGGGGGTCGGACGAGCGCGCAAGAGGCCGAGTGAAGAAGGTGACGAGCCACCAGCCAAGCGAGGACCACTCTCGACCCTAGATACTCTACCACCAGTCAGTACGTCAGCTCCCAGCAACAGCAAACTGTGGGAGAAGAACAAGATGCTGGCGTCGCTACTGGCCAAGCAACCGTCCAACCCCACACCAGCACAGATCCCTCCCATTCCTGCCAGCGTGATATCAGCCACGCCTCAGGACAAACTGCCGAGGATCATCAAACAACAAGGGTGGTCGGGCGGCAGCATACAGCAGAGTGGGGTGCTGACGCGGCCTACGCAGCAGATGGTGGACTCTGTAGCTAGGCAGCGAGCACCTCAACAATACCAACAACAACAGTACAACAACAACAACAACAGCTGGGACCACAACCAGCGGACTAGCGATCAGCTTAGTGATCAGTTCCTTTCAGATATACTGGACCAGGTCATCGACATCGTACCTGACGCTATAGCCACTGGTCAGTATTAGCTTAGTGTACATAGATTGGCAATCAGCAAGTAAAAAAATAAGGCTTGTTTTTCAGTTTGAAATTGAACGTTTGTTAAGACAAACAATTAATTATACAGTATAAGCAAACATCGGCCTTTTTCCCCATTGTGAAGTCGACCGAAAAACAATAGCTGATCTGTCCAAATGCTTTTCACAAAAAATTCAAATCAATAAGAATGATACATCAGCTGTCTTTGTTGTCGCTGTATTATAGGGATCACTTGTTGCTGATGCATTGCGACTGCTTTTTTAAAATTTTTTTTATTAAGGTTTTGTTTTATTTTCTCTAGTTTTACATCAAAAATGTAATTTAATTTAAAAATAAAATGTGAGCAAGATGGCTGACTTCCCCACAGATTTTCCATAGTTAGTATATTTTTTTTTTGGGAGCCTGGTTTATGTTATAGGTGTAGAATATAATCCCATATAAATATAAATTTTTGGTTTATGCACAGACTAATTTTGTACTTCATATTATTTTATGCCTTGTGTTTTTTTAAATGAGTGAAAAAAAATTAAAATGGAATATGTGTTAGTTTTGGAAATCAAGCCTTTTTTCTCACACAAGTTATATGTTAATTTATGAGAAGCGTCCTATATTCCGCTGGTTTATTTATATGTTAATATTGCTGAAAAGCAGCTATTTTCCATTGTTAAGTCTGCAGACCCAGCCTATTTCCCTATTGTGCAGCTGTCTGTTCTGTTTGCAGACCCAGCCTCCATCATGGACTTGCTGGACCAGATGGGTGAAACTCCAGTCACCAACTCCGGCCAGTTCCAACAGACCATGAGTGAGAAGATGGCCATCAATGCTATACAGAAGTCTCTCATGCAGTGTGAGACTGTGGTCAAGAGTCCTACCTACCCCACCAACACGGTAAACTTCTTGTCACCTAACATTCACATGCCTTTTATTTGCAATGACATTTGAAAGCCTAATTAAAATAAGTATTTTTAATAAAAATTGTATAGTTCTCAAGTGCACTTTTATGTTGTGTTTTTTTTTTCTTTTTATTGATTTTCAGACCAAATCACAAAAGTTTTTATTCATTCTTTTCTCAATTTGTCTGAACTTTTTATGGCTGACTAGTACTAAAAACAGCCAAATACTCTTTATATAAGATTACCATTTCTCTTAGCTTGTGCAGGAGTTGAAGTATAGCAAAGTAGTTAACTTGTGTGTACTTATTTTTCTAAAGTTCATCTTAAATATTGTCAGTATTTTTTTTTTTTTACTTAGAGGTTGTTAATCCACTTAGACGGCTTGATAAGTTTTGCTGTTGGTAGTTAGTCACTCCTGGATGAGTGTAGATGTATCAACTAGTGCAGGAAGACATATTTTACTATATTCGTACCTTTTTAAATTGTAAGCATTGCTGTACAGATGGGTCAGACGCAACAAGGGTTCCCGGGTCCACCACCCATGTACTCGACGAGACCAAGGTTCAGTGTACAGCAAGGTCAACAGATCACCATCCGTCCTGGCACTCCGCAGTACGCCATCGCCAACCAGCAGCAACAACAACTACTGGTACAGCAGCGGCTCAAGATACAACAGGCTCAGCAACAGAAACAGCGGTTGCTTCAGCAACAGCAGCAACAACAGCTGCTCATACCCATCAATGCTGCGGCCAGTGGCGACGGTCTGCACAACATTGACTCGCTCATCAACAACACAGTCGCGCCCAACGTCTCGTTACAGGTAGAGTACAGAGTACCAGAAATGCTGCTTATGGTTTTACAAAGTTGCTTAATAGCACAAAAAAGTAAAAGAGTATCAAATCGCTTTCCATACCGGGCATTGGTTTTGTGTCCAGTATTTTCATTGCAGTGTGTTATTTTATCTTTCTGCTTAAGTGCTAGTATTAAAATCCTGGTTTTGTGGTTAGGAGGAGGGTGAAAGGACCAGCAATGAACTATTAATTAAGATACATAATCATACTACATCTTATTAGCTTATGATACATTTTCTATAAATCTTTTACAATTTCTATAGCTTTTAACTTTTACCACTGATTTACTCACATGGATGTTTACAGACTAGGAACACCATCTTAATCTTTAATCTTTGTGTCTATTATATAACTTTTTACCAACAAAACCCTAATTGAGTGTTTGATGGTTTCAGAGATCGTCCAGTGTTAATGACTCCCAACTGTCCCCTAGTAACCTCGTAGCCAGTGGTGGGGGAGGCCCAATGCTCAACAGTACCAGCCAGATCTCCCCCTCTCAGCGGCAACCCTACTCCCCCCTCTCTCACCAACCCTTCTCTCCTGTAAAGTAAGTTGTAGCTTTGTTTATAGATTCACGGTTTACTCCCTCATTCGAGTTTTTAGCAGTTGTTGTGATAATAACAGTAGCTCTGACGCTCATATAAGATTCATTAGAAATTACACTAAAGCTGCAATACCAATCTATAAAACTGTTAACTTTTCAATTTTTCAAATAACCTAAAGCTTGTGAACAACTACTTTGAGAGAAATATTTTATATGCTTCTCCCTTTATTAACACAATTTTAGTTATTAATTTCCTATTTTGAGTTATAAATTCCATTGAATATCCAACTAAAATTCATTCTAAAATTTCAACTTGTGATAATAGGTAATCAAAATAACCTTTTATAAAAGTTGTTATCACAAAAAGAAAGCTATTTTTAAAACAATTTCATGAACTTTCACTTGTCCCAAAATGTTGATCGAGTGCAAACTGTAGGGTCTATTAGGGTATGTTTTATGCATAGTTCAAAATGTACCAAAGAGTAGTTTATCTTTTAATATTTCATCATGTTTTTGATTTGACTTTACCCATGTATGAATCTGCTTTGCAGTGGTGGGATCAACAACTTCCAGGCTGGTGGTCAGTCAGCTGGTCAGCAGCAGGCCAATGCCCAGGCCAGGTTATCTCCCTCAGGGTTACCAACCTTCCAGCAAGCCCAGCTGTCCCCTCGTGTCTCTCAGGTGTGTATACAAAGCCCCTGTGGCACCTGGCTCTAGATTTGCTGATATAGTCAGACAATAGAGTATTTAATATTCATACAATTTTCCAAGTATTTTACAGCTATAAAGTTAAATGGGATAACAGGCTTGAAGAATTATTAAGAGACCACTCTAGCAGCACACCATACACTCAAATAGAATATTTTACTGTCACTTAAAGATTTTCCAGTTAGGATGGTTTGTTGGGTTGGTAAGAGTTATATTTACATGTACAGTGGGGGCCAGTAATGTGTTTCTTCTACAAGAATAGACTTTCTAAATCTGGTTAGCCTGTTATTATAATAAAAATCCTTGAAACTATATGCTTGTGTTGTATTTTGCAGGCACAACAGGCAGGAGGTGGGTACACTGTGATGAGTCAGGCAGGCTCGTGGCCTCAGCAGCAAGCCAGACTCACTCTACAGCAGCAGCAGAACCCCATGCTCAATGCTCAACTCACGGTAAATACCAATACACTAGAACAGGATAGGCTACCTTGGTGGTTCAATAATACTTGTGACATAACCGAATCACCCAAAGACCTCACCCCAACTCACAGGGTGCCCAAGTGTTGTTAAATGTTTTTAAATTTGCATTGAGCCTAATAAAGGACAAGAATTGTTGTAGAAAACGTTTACTACAAATCTCAACAATCAAACAATTGTTTTTATTTTGTTTGTCAAATAAATTTACTTAATCATGTCTTCCAAAACATCACTGTACTCGTGCTGCTGACGTTTATAACCTAACTGTTTTGCAGGGAGGAGCGTATACCAACAACAGGACCTTCGTGAGTCAGCAGCAACAGGTGCAACAACAGCAACAACAACGGCCCAACCAGCCACAACAACTGCCTCCTGTGAGGTCTCTGACCTCGCCCAGCGCGCGCCAGAGTCCTTTCCCCGCAGACGGCACGCAGTACCGGCTCCAGAGGACCATCAGTGCGCCGCCGCAAGCCACCACCCAGCTCCCAGGTATGCGAGACGTCACACTACCCAGCATGTGTAGCGGTGGACGGTTTCATTAACTTCAACCCTCGACACTAGCTTTCTATCCAGATCTCTTGAAATGTGATTGCAATTTGATGTTAGATTCCCTTCTTAATAGTGTTTTCAATGATTTCTTTAACTCAACTGGATAGTGTAACTGCAAAATTAAATACTGATAAAGTTTTGGGAAAAATATACCTATTAAAAGTATGTCTCTTTTAGCGGACACTTAAAAATACTTTTACCATATTAGTTTATACCACCATGGACTAATTATTTTTGCTAAGTATGTTTGTTCAGATGGTATTACTACTACAGTCGATCAATTTCTAGTATGGTTATTTACAATTTATGTTTAATGTTCTTCATAAATGGTTTAAAGACCTAACGTTAAAGTGAGTAAACGCACAATTTGGAGTGAATAAATGCAAATTGTAATTGTACATCCACGCTAAATGTTCACCTCTCCTTAAAAGTAAGGATTTTTTAATCCAATTCATTGAGCTTAAAGATAATTTTTTGCGTGTATAAACATACAGTGTGTAAATTAAGTATGGAAACAAATCTGTATTTTTAAAACCGAAATAGATAGAAATATTCTATTTGTGGCAATAATAGTTAACAAAGATTCCGCAATTTTTCACATGAAAAATATTTGTTTACCCCCCTAACAGGGTAGATGGTAGGGGGTGACTTATTTTTTTCAAATAGCAACCCCTATTGAGTGACCCCTCATTTTGAAGGGTTTGTCAAAAGAAACACAATGACGCAAATCCGAGGTGAATATCTCACTCCTAGCTAACATGGCGGATATTCCAAAATGGGCTTTTTTTTACAAAAATTAAATTTTTCATTACCCACCATTTAGGCTAGGGGTGAAATATCTACCTCGGGTTTGCGTCATTCTTTTTCTTTTAACAAACCCTTCAAAATGAGGGGTCACTCAATAGGGGTTGTTGTTGAAAAAAATAAGTCACTCCCACCCCCTACCCTGTTAAAGGGGTTGAAAAAATATTGTTGATTAAAAAAATTGCGGAACCTATGTCAACAATCAATTCCACAAACAGAATATTTCTATCTATTTCGGTTTTAAAAATACAGATTTCTTTCCATTATTTGTGAAATTGGTGCTTTTCACGTACAATAAATCAAATTTTGGAATATCCGCCATTTGGGCTAGGAGTGAGATATTCACCTCGGATTTGCGTCATTGTGTTTCTTTTGACAAACTCTTCAAAATGAGGGGTCACTAAATAGGGGTTGCTATTTGAAAAAAATAAGTCACCCCCTACCACCTACCCTGTTAGGGGGGTAAAAAAATATTTTTCATGTGAAAAATTGCGGAATCTTTGTTAACTGTTATTGCCACAAATAGAATATTTCTATCTATTTCGGTTTTAAAAATACAGATTTGTTTTTATACTTAATTTACACACTGTATATGTAACGGTGTTTACAGTAAACAATAAACCTTAATTTTTCAGCACCCAAAATGCTTTAGCACGGTAACTAAAATGTTTTATAAGTATCTTGTCAGTAATTCCAAAAGCAATAGGCAGTGTTATGGATTTTGGTGAAATGTCATTTTTTTACTGAGCTGTTTGAAAATGACATCCCTTAGTTACATAACACTCTACTTGCTACTTGGGAACTGCTGACATACTTAAGAATCCAATGTATTTAAACTCTAAAACCAACATAGCTAGATTGAATCAATTAAAGTTTAAGATTATGAATTGTGGAAAAAAATATCAGTGTTTAACTCTAAAATCAATATAGAATGGCAAATCAATTTTTCTCATAAATATTTGTTTATACTAAATAAAATAATAACTTCTTCTCCAGGATTGAGGGTTGTTATTAAATACTATTAACACCTCAGTACATTTTGAGAAAGCCAATAATTTTGAGTAAGTTTTAAATATCTGGTGGTGGTTTTATAAAAGTAAACTCGGCTTGATTGTTGCGGTTACAAACTCGTTTCCCCTGTGGTACGTAGTGCCTGTACGTAGAGCGTGCGTGTTGCATGGAGCTGATGTGACCTTGCGATGATTGCAGGGGGTGTTCGCCACTACGCCGCCTCTCCAATGAAGGAACATCACCCCCTTCTGTCCCCCTCGTATCCTCCCCAGCCCCACCCTCATCAACCCCACCAAATGATGTACCCGGAATCTTCACAGTTCTGTTTTGATCAGAATTCGTTGCAATTATACGGTGCGACGTGTGATCGAGCCAGACTGCCTGGGGGTAAGTCATGTGACCGAGTCATGTGACCACTGCAGAAATCACTCCTAGCTTTACGTCGGTCCGATACTCCTGGGTTGCATGAACTCCCGACTTTGTGTTTGTTTTACTCCATTTATGTTGCAAGCTTTTGTTGTGGTTCTTCCTTATTTGTTCTCATTGTTCTGTTTTGTGTTTACTAATCAGGGGCTTCCTCAGTTTCTATGAGTATTATTACGCGTTTGATTTGTTATTTTTTTCTGTATTTATATGGTTCAATTTTTTATTTGAAAACATCTTGTACATTTTTTCTCCCCTTTAATGAATTGTTACTGTTTTTTTTTAATCCCTCTTATTTTGTTATCAATGGTCGTTTTACAAAATTATCTTTAATTTGTTAGTCTAATATTGAAATGTATTGAATCTATCGGATGGATCGTTGCAGGTTTTGGAAGGTCTGTTTACAGCGAAGGACATTGTGGTGCTTTCAGCATGTCATGTCGCAGAGCAAAGTGAAGCTGACATTTTGGTTTTGCTTTGTCGGGTTTCCCATCCTGGTATTCCTCCTCCTCACAGCTCAAGTTGGCAGGCGTGTTCGTAGAGTGCACAGCTTGCACTCGTTACGCCATTTGTTACTCATTGTATCGCTTTGCATGTTGTGTTATGTGTTACTTGCTGTTGCACGCACCTTCATTGTTGCTAATAATCACTCTCATTTATGTGTTATGTTGTTCATATGGTAAGGTAAGTCGTGTATTGTTCCCATTTGTGTGTTGAAACATTTTCATCAGCTTTCTGTGTATGTGTAAACCAACTTTATATGGTCATCAAACTAAAGGTATTAAATCATTTACAGGGAACGGTTCTGGTCTACGGTGTACAAGGCAGTGTACTGTTAAAGATGTTTTACATGTTAGTACGCTTGTGTGCATTCATCTTGTTGTTTATGACTGGAACAGCCATTGGGATCCCTTATGATGGGCTGAATCCAGACGGTCAATAATTCTATTATTAAAATTTGACTTTGATTTGCAAATTCCATCCAAAACCAAATTAGGATAGACAATAAAAAAAATGTTTAAAATTGGTAAACACTGTAAGACAGTATTAGAGTATTAGCAGGGTTGAAGATATGTTTTTCCATAAATTGACCTTAGTAATAATTTTTCAAAATTTAACGGATACCTTAGAAAACCAACAATTCTATTTTAGAACCTATGAGAATCTCACAACTATATTGCCATCGCAGAAGACATCACAAAGTTTGTGTGATTGGGTGTAATAATTCTTGAAACTGCACAGAATCCTAATAATTAGTTGGATAACATCATTAACCAAAGGTTATGAGTACCCAATCACATGTATCTCTATCAACTGGTACCACCAAAAATATCACACACTAATCAATCTCCATTCATACTTGGCTTAAAATACCGACTTTGTATGTTCGCCATTTCAATGAGAAGTATTGAAAGTATTAAATAATTTTTAAATTAGGCCTATTCTACGACGGCCCTGAAGGGACACTCAGTTTCTTTTTGTCTTTCATTTTACTTCCACTTTTTTCTCGAGGTAGTTCGACTTTTTCTCGAAGTACTTAGACTTTTCTATCTAGTCTAGTTTTACTTCAACTCAACTTCAATACGAATACGTTCATTCTATTCTGTTTCTGTTTCTGATCCTTTCTCTGTCTGCTGACTCCACTGTCTTTCGTCTCTGTCGCACTCAGACCTAATAAAATCCTTGACAGAGTCAATATCAGAAATAAAAGTGTTTCCTTCTATGAAGTCCAAGCTTCTTGGTATACCTTTTAAGTGTCCGCTCACTTATGCAAATGTTATGCTTCAATAAAAGAATTGCAAGCATTTCAGGCTGTTGAAGGCCTAAACTAAAATATTGTTCAATCAGTTCATTAATGTCATATTCCATTATGTGACCTAAAGCTCAAACCCCTTTCTATCTGCCAATTCTTATCAAAAATATGTCAACAGCAGAAACACCCCTACATCAACACTCAACAGTTAGTTGGGTTGTGGTTGCTGTAAAATTATAACAAACTATAAAAAACACATTTTTGTATGAATGAATGTTGTATGTTTGTATGATGTTTGTATGAAGTACTTCGAGAATAATGTCGAAGTACTTCGAGAATAAAGTCGAAGTACTTCGAGATAAAAGTCGAAGAGTGAATGAAAGACAAAAAGAAACTGGATGTCCCTTCAGGGCCGTCGTACTATTCTTTTACAAAAATATTCTTTTTAAATAAATGTTTATCAAAGTTATAATTCCAACTATGTTTAAAAATGTGTTGCTAATTTTATGTCTAGTGCCAAAAGTTGTTAATGATTATCATCCTAGTTTTCATTGACAAAAGTTATACTCAGTGCAAAATATCTTGATACGTGGAGACCATTTGAGTTAACTCTTTAAGGCAAACATAAGACTCTTTTGATGTTGAGTTCTTATTGGCAAGAAATTAATCTCATTACGTCATATGATTGCAACTTCATTGAATCAGCTGGTTATATTTACTCCAGTCCTGTTCATGATATTTTGCTTTTGGTATACATTAATGTGTTCATGTAAATAGTTAGTATATGTCGACATAATATTGGGCTAGATTAGTTCACGTTATTTGTGCTTTTGCAGCTGTTCATCATCAGGATGCTTCACACACATTATCTTTCTCTATTTTCTCTATCCATCTCACATTTGTGTTGTTGCACTGTGTTTAATCCTTGCATGCGTTCCCTCATCCTTTAAACTTGTGTGTTTTTGGTCTCTCCCCTCCTCAAAAACTGGAGTGCTTTGTTCAGTTGGTTCACTATAAATTTAATTTAAATTATATTATTTTAATTTTATACCATCTCAAAAGAATTCAAGCCGTGCTAAAATTTTTGTTAGAACTTAAGGTATTCTAGTATTTTAGTTATAATACTTGTCGTTTTAGTAAAGATGGCTTTAGGCTAGGATTTTTTAATGGATAGATTTAACAGCAGGCTTACGCTTACTGACAAAAATTTATGAAAATGGACAAACATAACACAAAGTTTTCTTAGCTACTAGCCCCTTCTTCAGTAGCCTAATTCTGCGTTTATGTGTTTTTTTGTGCAATTCCACCTATTTTTGTTGGGAAGATAAGCACGCTGTTAAACCCATCCATTACAAAAAGTTTTAATACGTAAAAATGCTGTCAAGCAAAAAATATATAGTTCATTAATTTAAAAGACATTAAGTTTTGATTGATCTTATGCTGACAAATCCGTTGTAATGCATTAAAAAAATTTAATATTTATTTTGAAAAAGATATTATCACATATTTTCTTTCAAACGGAAGTTCAAGATTTTTTTTAGATATTTACTTTTTATTCTATGGAATGACTCCTAGTGTTAAATTAAAACTTTTAGTTGTTGTCTCCTTGTCTTCCTTTTAGAACTATTACTTATAGGTTTAATAATTTAGATGTTTTGTGAATGAATAGTTTGTAATCCGCCTGTGACACATGAATTAATAATATTTATTCTTAATAACTTACAGTTTTCCAATATGTTTTGGGTATTATGTTTACAAACTATTTGATTTTAAATTAAATTAATATTATATTTGTTATGTTCAATAGTGATTTTGAAGCTACAGTATGTGAAAACCTGAAAGTCATTTCCAAGCAAAAGGCAGAAAAAGCTTTAAACTATTGAACTGAAACAAGTTATATAAGTTTTACTGTTAGTCTTTTTAACAGCAGCCTTATAAATTAAAACAAATCTTGGGCAAGTCTTTAATATAATGAGAAAAAAAACTGTCCTCTCAATTTTTATTTTGTTATTTGATTCTTATGTTTTCTGCCCTAGTAGGAAGTAAGATGGTCACTTTTCATAATTAAATAAGGCACTTTGGATTTTAGCTACTTTAAATGATGTAAACAATTAAAACCTTACTAAATATACTGACAATAATTGGACTGTGTGTTCTTCACTCGTTATTTTTGCACACGTAACCTGGATGTTTTGATGCATGACAAAAATCTTGAAGTAGAAAGAAATTACTTAGCATCTTGAAGTGCTTTTGGAGTTATTTCTAGAAGCAGTTACGATTGGTCGGTGTACTTATGTGATGTCTTGTGCAGGGGCTGGAGGTAACAACGGCATGACGGAGTACGTGAGACAAGAGTTGCGTGCGATGGTAGGCGCGAGACAACAACAGGTACGGATACTCCCAGGCCAGGTGTCACCGGCGGACTTTGAGGCTCTAGGGCTCTCCTTCGAAATGTCCAACCAAGGTACGACCAGGTTATCCAACACCTATTAGGAACCCTGTTGAATTATAAAACAACTATGAACTAATGATGGTTTGATGGTCAAGGTTCCAAATATAACCCTTTAGAAAAATACATCCAAGCAGTTTTTGTTATATCACTTAATATAATAAAAAATAGCATTTTTTAAGAGGTTAGCAGCCTCTATTGACCTTTCATTGGTTCGTCCACACGGCGGGTGTCCAGCCAACCTAGAACCTGGGAATTGTACGTGAATTCTGATGACCGTGAAAAAGTCAGTGAATGTTACACGGAACTGAAAAATTTACATTTTTTAAATAATCACTGATAAACCGCCCAAAATCAAAGATATTTCTTATTTTACATCAATTGATATCACAATTACGGGATACTATTAAGAATCACAGATTTTGCCGGAATCGTAAGAAATTATCTCGGCCAATGCCGCAATAGTGAGAGACGATCATACATTTACTCACAATTGCACAGCTGATGTGGCCTTGATCGCGTAAATAGTGTGAGGTGTTAAAATAATCACTAGAAATGATTGCGTATGTTGCAGCAATCGAGGGATATGATCACTGATGTGGGATTATTATTTTTATTTTTTCCAATTAAAGAATGGATGCATGTATCCTAGTTTTGATTTTTATTTAATTTTTGTATCGTTTAATTCAAGTCATCTCATCTTTCTTAGTTTTAAAAGGTTTGATATAGTTCTTCTTGAATCTGGGTTATTTTTTGCCCTTCTGAGAGGGGTTTTAATGTAAAAGTCGGTATAAATAAGTAAGTTATGCTTATTTGAGAAAGAGCCTGGAGTACAGTTTCATGAAAAATCTACTGAACTGGTGACATGATTATTAGGCGAGCACCACATGCACCCAGTTATCCTGAATGTGTATTATAGTTCAACCTGTAATCCTGTTGTTATTCAACTATTCACCATATGCTCATGTTATAGAATCCCTTTATAGAATCATTAGAACAGCAGAAAGTTTTATTTTGTTTGGTTGGCAGGTGGAGGAGAAAGCCCAAAGATGAACTGGGGAAATATGAACTCTGATATGTCTGCCGTCTCTCCACAGTCTGCCATTCAGAGGGTGAGTCACATCAGAAGATTCCAGTACCCCAGTCATATTACGATATTAGGAGGAAATAATTCCCTAAATGGGGAAACTGCACCCAGTAACAACGTATTAAAAATCAACATTTGTGCATGCTGTGCTACACTTTTTCACTTTTTTGACCATATTTCACTTGCCGTTGGAAATATAGAAATGTTGTCGAAACATCTTTTTTGTCCTTACTTTTGTCCTATCTCTAACGGTTATTGAGAAAAATTGAAACTAATATTAACAAAAAAATTTTACTTTCCCCGTACATATGGGTATATAGAGGAAGTATTCAAAACCCAAATTTTTGGATTCAGGGTGACCCTAAACGAATATATCCACCCAGAACTCAAACTCTGACGAAAACATTCCTGCCATGGCGAGGGGGATGGTAAAAATTTAAGTTTTGTTAGTATTAACATAAATTTTTCTCAATAACTGTTACAGGTAGGACAAAAGTTTTAAAAACATATAAGATGTAGTTTTGTATGTTCTTTAACTTTTAATAATCAAATAACATTCAATTATGTGAACTATAACAAACTAATAACATGCGCACATGTATTGTACGTAGCCTAAGTTGATTGATCCTTAATTAAACATGAAAATAGTGAATAAATAATAGATGGTGAATTTTATTTCCAAGTTGAAGTGAGTGGTGTTGTTACAGACGGGCATGGAGGAGGTGTCAAGGTCGTCAGATCCCAGCAGATCCTCTCTCCTGCAGAAACTCCTCTCAGAGTGATAGTGGCCTCAACAAGTGCATTATTGTTATCTCAACTGACTCTTTATTTTGTAATTTTATTCTTTAACAAGAACTCGAAGCGTATTTTGTTATTCGAGGTGCGAGTGTATACTGCCGTTAATCCTCAGGTTAAGTTTCGTGCGGTTGGTAATGTTCATCTCTTCAACAACTGTACAAATCAAACCCGTTTGTATTTATGTGATTATAAGTTTTTGTTGTAAAATTCTTATTTTACGAACAAAACCATTCGGTGTTTACTGTAATTGTTAAGATTATCTTCTCTTTTCTCATACACGTTTACAAATATTGTAATACTATTCATGTAAAATGTATATATTTCATAGTTATTGTTACATATTTATTGTATAGTTGTTAAAATTTAATAATATTACCTTATTTTTACTTGGCTTTGATTTATTGTGTAATTTTGCTATTGATTTTCTTAGATTAGACAGAAATAAATATCAACTCACACCAAATATATTTTCTTAAGGAATGACGGAGATATTGATGTTTCACAGTGACAGTTTATTTTTATTGTAGTGGAAATCGTTTTAAAATCTTAATTAAGATTGGTTTTATTATTTACAAATGTTGAAGCTATGAACAGACCCAGAGCCATACTTGTCTACCAGTCTGTATACACGCCCTACCATTCATTTATACTCAAATTAATATAATATATTCACAAATACCAATATGTAATCTCACAATACTGTATGTAATAGTTTTTATAAGATGCCAATTTTTTGGTACTGCCCAAGTCAATACCTTTTTAAACTATTATTTTACAACATATACTAACTACGAGTGTTTCAGTTATTATTTATGATGTCGAAAACACATTTTTTTTTACTTTTTCTATACATGTTCTTTTTAACTTTTTTTAATTTTCGAAGCTGGTTATTGATTTGTATGTGTTGGTCGCATTATTGAGATTTTAAAAATATTGTTAATATTTCAAATTTTATTTTACAATGATTGTGTTGTGCAGACTATGTTCCTAAGTGTGTATTGTTTAGCCAGTTTTATTTAAGTTATTTCAAAATAAATTTGGAAGATTACGAATTTACGGAGTTATTGTTCGCTATAAATAATATGCAGCATGATAAGGATTGTACAGAGAATGTTGTGTAAATTTTATTTTTGTATATAAAATAAAACTGTTAAATTTTATCTTATTGTGATTTAATAATGTAGGTTATTGATGTAAACAATTTGTCAAACTACTTTACTTTTTTAGTTCCGATTAAAAGTTTTCATTCCTTGTTTAATGTATTGATCGGGTTTTATTATTTCTCCTGTTTTTTCTATCAAGAAATGAGTTGGACAGTACAGTACATATTTTCATAGCTGCGATTTGGTTTGCATATGAATTAACTCATTGAACTTTTTCATGTGTTGTTAACAATATCCAAACTCTCGTAATGTATTAACGTTTCTCTATCAAGTGGCTTGATCCTGTAACATGTTGCTGTTGTTGTAAAGCTTTGCTAAGCTGTGTAAGTAATTTTATGAGATTGTATCACTATTAATAATTTTTTATATAAAGGCTGTTAATTTCCTATAATGTAAAGCATCGATGATTACATAAAAATTATTCTTTTTAAATAATTCTAAAACTGACCTCGTACAGATAGGCAGTTCAATTTCATTGATAATTAGGAATGTTTTGCTACAACCACCCAGCTCATTTCAAGTATCGATGCTCTATTTTTGAATCGGTGTCTAAAAAATTATAATGTTTCATACACGTTTAGAAATATTTTCTTAGATAGGTAGATGTCTCTATTTTGCCATATCTGAAACTTTTTTAAAGAGAATGAATATATAAATGGATATTTTTTCTGTATTTTTTTATTGTATTTGTAAATGATGAGTTGTGAATAAATTGTTATTGGAATTGTGATGGGTGTTCCGGGTTAGTTACATTAGTGTTTCATGTCCACTCTCACCATACTGTCCGTTCATTTCCCTTCTTCTTCTTCTCTCTATACTGTGACGCTGTGCTATAGAAGGCAGTATATATCCTCCGGTTATGTGATGATCAAGTACAAAACCTTTTCTGTGTTAGCTCGCTCAGTTGTTTGCTATTTTTTACAGTTGTATAAAGTTAAGGCCCTTCGATATATATTTTTTTATTGTATTTGGAACAGACTTAAGATTTATGTTACAGTGCAAACGATTTGAAACAGCTTATAGAAACCAAAGCCTTGTATATTTGTACAGAGTTAGGTTCGGTTCCGTTTCACTCCTGGACTATTTTGCACTTCGGTACATTTAGTTGACAATAGAAGGGCTGTTTCGACAAAAGAAATGTCTAATAGTAATTAGAGTAAGTAGAATAGGAGACATCAGAAATTAGTCACTTAATATTTTTGTATACATATTGAGACCGAAAAAGTTTGGTCCAGTCAAATTTTTGAAGCGGAAGACTTTAATTTTTTATGCCTGCTGCTGTTGTTAATTCGATTTGTATAATCTTTGTGTATAATATTATCTTAATTTTACATTTTATGACCCCTACTTGGTTTTGTAAAGATTGTTCATTTGGATGTCCTTTATGGCTACCATTTGCCGTTAGTATGAACAAAGGTTTTATTAAAGAAGAGTTGATATTTAATATGTTGTTTTTTTACTTTACCCTGTTTTCTATTAAAGTATTTCTCAGGTATTGCATGAGTTGTTGGGTGGTAATGTTTGGTCTTTAGAGATATTGTATGTTGTTTGTATTGAGTAATTTATTAATATTGTTTGTATTTGTGTACACTTATTGCAGTGCTACAAACTGTCACAATGCTGGTAGCGTCCATTCATTGGCTTCATAGTTCTTACTTATTCTGCTTACTCCGATTATGCTGTTACCGTTTCTTGTAGCACGGTGATCAGTAGGGCACACTTGGTGGAAAGGCTTGTAGCACGTGGGGAGGTGACCCAGCGTGTGACCCGGCAAAACGCCTTGCTCCAAATTCCAAAAGTAAGCCTAGAAGTGGGTAGAAAAGGGTTTTCTACTTTGGCCCAAAGATATACAATGATCTACCATTGGACCCTTAAACAGCTGGGGGTCCTGGCTTTCAAAAGAAACATGCAAAAACTGTAAAATATTGTCCATGGTGGAAGGAAAATACATAGGTGTGCTATTCCCGTCATATTCTGACATCACTCAGATTGCAAACAAAAGATCACCTGATAGTAACTGTCAAATTAGTATTTGTTTTGATTTGTTTGTTATTGTTTTTATAATGATTTCATTCAACTATTTTGAAAACATTATCATAAAAATAACAATCGAAACAAATACATAGGTACTAATTTTACAGTTCAATCAGGTGATCTTTTGTTTGCAATCGAGTGACGTCAGAATATGGCAGACGGTGCACTGCACCTTTTTACTGGGAGGCTAGATCAGTGGACTCTATGGTTAGACATTTTCATCCAATTGGTTTACAGATACCACTAAGTTTTTTTGGCAAACTTTCAATACTATCAACATTATTAATACTAATTATGATAATAAAACTGAAACACTACTACGCGCGAGTAGACTAGACCCCACCACATGCTCCTTGTAACTAAAGAACATTTTATGAAAATTGTTGAGATATGAATTAAAAGAAACTTAACACGTTCTCTGCGGGCCACTCGCCGGTGAGTACACTAGTTCCTTTCTGTGATGCTGAACGCTCACTAGTGAGTGCCGGCATCGCCTACATTGCATTCAAGTTCTGCACACCGGGAAGAAAGGGCACTTTTATGTCTGTGTTTAGCTAGGAATGGGTGCTTATTGTGGTGTAGGTTGGTAGTAAATTTCCCTATAAAATCCCCTTCTGGCAAGCTTAGAAATCAACTTGTTGTCCCGTCTTTCTCCCTCCAATTGGCAATACCGGGTGATTAAAAAAGGACTGTACAACTTAGAAAATTCATATAAATCTTATTAAACTAGGCATGTGGCCTCAGGTCCGCCAATTGAGCGGAGTAAGCAAGCTTTGATATAAACAAATAACTTTAATTTGTTTTCATGATTCAAATTGAATTCATGATGACGTCACCATAGCAACAATCCAATTGAATTCTCGTGGTTGGTTGGAAGAGTTGAAGGAAATATGAATCCAGTCAGCTGTTTCTATTAGGTCATTGATTTTTAATTGTATATATGAGTAATAGCAAAGATTACATATGCTACGCAAAATTGATGTTTTGCGTAGCATATGTAATCTTTGGTAATAGTAAAACTGTGTGTTTGTAATAGCATAAAGATAAGTATTATTTTGTCAATATCCTAATGTTTGTTTAGCTCCCATTTATGTAATAGGCCTTTAGGCTTCCTTCTCATATTCTCCAACTAAAGAGTGAAAATTTAAAAACGTACGTTTTCATGTCCCTGGCCTTTTACTTCGTAGATACTAGATTTGTAGTTTATTATAAAGTGTTTTAATATTTTTTGGGACGGGGGCAACATGTTACACACATTTATTTGGTTTTAAATAGGGTCTAGGTATTTTTAAAGTCTCGAAATTCACGACCATGACGTGTCCCTAGGGTACATTTTCCAACTTTCACGCTGTTTTTAGACTAATTATTCATGCCGAAATGTATAAAGCCATATTTTTATGTCATCAATGGTTATTAAACTTACAAAAAAGGAGCATATTATAATTTTATTGTCATTGCAAACTGACTACCATGACAAAATAAGTCTGTCCCTCGATTTGGCGTCACGACCATTTGGGAAAAATTTTCTACTTTGGAGCACGACAGAGGCAAGCCTGGCGTTGATGGAGTCAGTTGGTTTAAGAAACTAGTTCGGGGTGTACGTCAGGATTGTAGTTCCGGTCGTTTCGAGTTGAAAGGAGGAATTACAAGATTAATAAAGGAAAGATTGTGTTTTTTGTAATTTTGGTGTGTCCATGACCGTACGTAGTCATTCAATGAAGTAGACATGGTGTTAATTTTTGTTTATAAGATATTTCAATTGTTAGATTAATCTAGAAGTCCACTTTGTATCCTCGAACATGAGGTGCAGGGCTACCACCAGAACAGAGCCAAATAACACGTAATTTCACGACCAAAGTTTCACGACCATCGCGGTTTTTTTCACGACCAATCCAGCCTTATGGATTCTAGTGTGTTTGGTCGTGACAATAACTTTAATATAATTGTAAATTGAACAGTTTAGTTCAATTGAAACACATATTTTTATTATAACTAACAGTATAATTGAAGGATTGTTAAGAAAGATTTAGATTATTTCAGAAAATTCACGACCGTACCGCTTGTCCCTGACCATCACGTTTATGATTTCTATCATAAAAATTTCAAAAATTAAAATATTGTCATATTTCAATGTTTTATACACAAAAGAAGCACACCTCTATACGAACATAACGATTTTTCGGGTCTCAGGTAAGTTTTTTCGGAGTTATACAAACATAAAAAGATTTTATTGGCTTTTTTTTAATTTTTTGAGGTTTTTTATTTTTTTCTGGAAAGACCAAATATGCCAAAAGCTCAGTGACCTTTTTATTGTATAATGGTCATAAAAGTAAATTAGTTTATAGCAAAACATAGTTATAAAAATAATATTAACTATTTTTAATATTCATTTAAATGTCTGTTATGGTCGTGACAGGATTTTGTGTTTTTCCACTAAAGATGCTCTTTTTTAAAAAAACTACCAAAGATATTGTGTTACCATGGACATTTTATGAAACCTAAAATGTTAATGAATTTAAAAAAATAATAAAAGTTTTGAAAAAAGGGGTAAAAAATTTGCAAAGTGCTTTTCCTGAAAACGTACGTTTTTAAATTTTCACTCTAAAACATTTAGCCAATTAGTAAACTTTGCTCAGCGAACAGAATGTCAGAAGAAGGTGACTATATATAGCAATACCATAGTCAATGGTCACCACAGGAAATAAGGCGTGGCTAATTTCACGAGCTGATGATACCCTGAAAAAGATGGTGGTTGCCGCAACGCTTGTGGCATTGAATTGGTGACGTTTGCGCTAGCTCCGCCCCATTGCCAAAATATAGGCATACTGTACTCAATAAATAGATTAGATTTTAAAGACGGCACTGAATAGAGAATTGATGAATTAAACAAGAATATATTTATGTTGGAGTTACAACATCATCCAATTTACTTATTACCTGTTTTATAAAATCATATGTTATATATCTCGTATTGTTATGATTATAAGTAAATAAAAGTTATTATTGTGTGAGTGTTATTAAAGAATAGTTGATTCAATTTTAACAGATTATGAGACTCAATTAAGTGAGGAATATGGAAAGAAATATGAGTAATCACATTGAACTTTTGAACAGAAATAATTATGACACATGGAAAATGCAGATGGAAGCAGTTTTAGTTAAAAATGATTTACTTGGGTATGTGTTAGGAACCATTAAAAGGCCTCTAGATGAAGGTGAAAGAATGACTGCTTGGCTAATCACTGATGCAAAGGCAAAGGCAGATAATTATAATCCTCTCTATCAGCCCAAGCGAATTAAAGCAAGTGAAAGGATGTAACACTTCAGCAGAGATATGGGAAAAATTAAAAGGCATTTATGATTCCAGTGGACCAGCAAGGAAAGCCTTTTTGTTAAAGAAGCTAATTTGGGCAAAACTGACCCCTGATTATGATGTCAGAGATTACATGAATATGTTTTTTGATGTAGTGGACAAATTAAAAGGAATGGACATTGATATTAATGAGGATCTTTTGACAATTATTCTTTTGTATTCCCTGTCAGATGAATTTGAAAACTTTAGAATTGCTATTGAAACTAGAGATGCACTGCCTTCTCCTGAAACTTTGAAAATAAAAATTGTAGAAGAGTGGGAAGCGAGAAAAGAACATGGTAAGAAAGAGAGTAGTGAAGCTCTGCTAGGAAAATTTCAGAATAAAGTTAGATTTCAACCAGGAAGATTTTCAAAAGACTCTTATAGAAATAGAACGGAATCAGTTGATTTTCCGTTTCGATGCTTTATATGTAAAGCGATCGGGCATAAAGCAAAATTTTGTCCCAAAGCAAATAAAGATCAACAAAACGTAGCGATTGCTAAGCTAGAAGGTAGGACTTAATTCTTCTGTACAAGATGACTGTTATTTTGGAAACTTGTCAATGAAAGATATACAGTGGTGTTTGGACAGTGGATGCACTTCACATATGACTCATGTGAACAGTAAATTTACCAAGTACAAGCCTGTAAATGGAAGAAGTATATCTCTTGCCAACAATTCATCAACTGATGCAAGAGGGGTTGGAACAGTTAATATGAACATTTTAAATGGGAGTACAAATCTAAGCGTTAATTTGTATGACACTTTGTATGTACCAGAACTTCGAACAAATCTGATGTCTGTAGCTAAAATTACTGACCATGGGTATCAAGTTTTGTTTAAAATGATGCTGCTTTGATAATAGATCAGAATGGACAGACAAAGATCCATGCGAATAGGTTAAATGGACTTTATTACGTACAAGAGAGTAGTGAAGAAATGAATATAAGCTGTGAAAAATCAAGTCTATTGTCTTGGCACCAACATTTTGGACACTTGAACTTTGGAGACTTGAAAAGAATAATCAATTTAAATATGGTTAAAGGTATTA